GCTCGCGCTCTCTCGCTCGCGCTCTCTCTCGCTCGCGCTCTCTCTGGTACCAGGAATTGAACTTAGGACCTTGTGCTTGCAAGGCAGGTACAGTGCCACTAAGCTACATCCTTGGCCCTATAATCTTCTCTTTTTAGTCAACTTGCTGTGCATATCTTTTCAGGTCAATAAAAGTAGATCTATACCATCATTTTCCAAGATGGCTTTGTGCAGATATGCTATTAGGTATCTGACCAATGCCTGTGTTGTCATTTAGGTTATTTCCAATTTTTCTTTATCCCAAGCCACTCAGAACATGAGTGAGATTTGAAGTCTGAAGAGCTGGACATGAAACTTCATCCTTTTTCATTCATCTCTCTGTCACTTAGGGGCAATTACTCATATCTTTTAGCTCAATTTTCCCATCCTTAAAATGGAGCTAAGAATGCCCATATCAAAGTGTCCTTGTGAAGACCAAAGGAGATAACCTATGTAAGCTACCCAGCTTAGTTCTGACACATAGCACACTCTCCATAAATATTTGTCTTTTGCTTCTCTGTTTTGTCTCAAAGATAGTTCTAAGGTTTTAAAGTGGCATCTATCAAATCCTTTAAGTTTTATTCTGGTCTTATCCTTTGTAAATATCATGTGCTTTTAAAAATATTGAATACTGTCAAGATATTTTTTCTCACCTTGATAAAAAGAAAGAACATCAAAAAATAAAACCAAATACTACCAACCAAAAAAAAAAAAATACTATTTTCTTGTGGCTGATAGAGAACACACAGACTCGGCTGTCCAGTTTGTGAAATAAAATGGATTTGACAGATCAGACTGATGAAAAATTGCTCTCTATTGAAGCTAGCAACCCGGCTCTGTGAAATTTTCTTTTAAATGGTATTATAAGACTCAGATTTCTCCTTGGAAAATAAAATTATCTTGTTTTCTTCAAGAAGCAAGTTATTATTATTATTATTTTTTAGAAAGGCTGAATGTAGTGTTTGCCCTAAATTTTCCATCCTATGGCCACTTCTCTCCAAATTTGTTTTCATGTGACCATGAACACAACACAGCCTGTGTTGCTTACAAATGAGCAGATGGAAATTGAGCAAATGAGCACTTCTGAAACAGGCAATGAAAGAGATAGAACACTTATGTCAAATAGCAGACAGACGATTTAAAGTAGGGCCAGATCGTCTCTTTTATGGAATAGCTGTCT